TTTGTAGATATGAATCACAAATTTAACCTTCAGTGAAAACATAAGGGGAAGTGGGGCAGGGAGACGACACGACAGTTGGCTTTGTTTTTAGAGCAAAACAGGTTTGTTTCTCTGCTACCCACATTTGCACCAATTGATTGCTATCTTGTTGAAGAGCATAAGCCTGTTTTGAATAGTCTGCCTTTTGATGTTTAAACAGCTATATTATTTTTCTCAACCTTGACCTTTCTCTTTCCTGGTTTATATTGTGCACATTATCTAATATAAAAGAAAGTCTGCATCTTCTAAAACATTCATCTCTCTGTTTTCTAGCTCCAGAGGAATATTTTGGCATCTAATCCCAGAGTCACAAGATTCCATATTAATTGGGAGGACAACACTGAAAAACTGACAGATGCTGAGAGCAGTAACCCAAACCTCCAGTCACTTCTTTCTACAGATGCCCTGCCTTCAGCCTCAAAAGGGTGGCCAACATCTGAAAACTCTTTAAATGTCATGTTGGAATCTCATATGGACTGCATGTGACCTTCTGCGCTATGTTATATGTTGAGCTCTAAACACACACAGTACACAGAACACAACCATCACGGAAACTTTTTCTTTGGAATTACATATTAAACAAATGTGAAAATTGCTTAAAGAACACACACCCTGTAGAAAGTTTATAAGGAAAAGTATTTGAGTGGATGTATAAATAAAACTATTTTTAAGTAGCTGCCTGAGATTTTTTTTAAAATCTAGTGTTAGATATCAATAAAGATATGCAAACTAGGCATAGGCAGGGATGATAACGTTTACATGTTTTTAGTTGTAAATTATAGGTGGGCTTTAGTGAAGCCTATATAAGCTTAGCTTGAATGCAATGGTCTTTTTATGCTTTAGAAGCTTTGAATGTGAATTTTTGCATAGTGGGCAGAGCTGGCCCAAACAAAAGGTGACAGCTACCTGCAAACTGCAGATATTAATTTTAAGATTCATATGAGACCAGTCTAATGCAACTTAATATCACTCTTATCAGTGACAACAGTGTTATATGCAGGCTGTCAAAGGGGCCTTGGGTGGGGAGATGCCATTGCACTCTTGTCAGATTATGATGGTCACAGCAAGTAAAAGTAAAGAATGTGACCAATGACTAAAACTTCAAAGACTCTCAAGCTTTAAGCTCCCAGGCAATGTTGGAAAAGGCACAGCTGCTGCTGGGATTGTATAGTATCTCAAACCAAAAATAGAGGATTTTAATAGCATTGGCTGGTCAAGGTACTCCAGACTTTTTTCCCTGATGAGGTGACAAATACTGTTACAGGAATTTGTGATTTAAGAAACACAAGTCCCAAATCTTTATAAGTACAGTACAATTATCCACAAGGACATTGTTCTTTAACTTGTAACTATTGGCCTCTTCTCTCATTCTAAGCAGCTAAACTTAGTGCATTAGATTTAAATGTCAGGCTTTGTTGTTGGCTCTTGGATGAAAGATTTACATATAGTTGGTAGAATGTAGGACTTGCAAAGAATAAAGATGTGAACATGATCAGTGCGACTCCTCTAGATGATGCCATTCATATTTAAGAGTATATTTGTGTTACGAATCTATATCGGTAAATTATTATTACATTATTTGGTTGAAACTATTGGTTAGTAATATGGGCACACCAAAATTGTCCATGTCTGGCTGTGTGTATGTATGTGTGTTTGCGCACACACCTGCTTTTTAAATCCTGGTAACTGCCTGGACTTATCACTGGAGATTTTTGGGTAAGGCTTCAGAAATGGCTTATCATTGTCTTATGTCCTCAAGAGTTGAAAGTGGCTGGGCCAAGGTCATGTTGGATTAGAACGCCTGGACTCCCAGTTTTCAGTCTGGTGCCTTAACCACTAGACCAAGCTGCCCCTCTTGGCTAATCTTAGAACACTCCTATTCCTTGAAAAGTTCCCTTCCCTGAAGATAGAAGAAAGTGCTAAAATTACTATGGCCTGAAATTTTGTCTTATGTGGAATCTCTACACAAGAACAGACGTGAGTCTGGAGATGGCCAGATTTCTGGTGTGGGACTCAACTTTCTGTTCTTTTTAGCTTTTTGTTGTTATTTAATATTCCAACAAAGGTTGCAAGGCATGTCATATGTTTTCCAGGTGAAAACCTAAGAGGCGACAAGGCCAAAGGAAAGTTAAGATTCAAAATGGCTACATTTGATATGAATTGTTGTATCTGAAGCTCAGGATTCAGTATCACTGGGTCTGCCATACATCTCATGATTTTCCATGCAGCTTACTCTGCTATAAAGTTTAGCAATGTGAAAAGGGAAGTGCCATATAGCTTATCACGCCACTATTGGAATTCAGCGAGCAACTACTAAGATTAAAATTGATATATGAAGGTGGCTGTGCAAAGTAAGATGGGAAGAAAATGAATTTTGGTTTTAATGTGGAAATAAGACTTAATGATTTAAGTAGGAATTTTAAAGACGTGAAAATGTTAGTATGTGAAACAGCATTTTCAGTACGTATATTAATTTCTTCATTGTTAAATATCTCAGAAATATCAGAAAAGTTAGCATCCCCTAGTTTCAATAAAAATGTTTAGGAAGAGGGAAGGAATATATCAAACTGACCAATTCCTGAGCTGATTGTCAAGAATTAATCATTTAGTAATCAGCTCAAGAATTGGTCAGTTGACATAATCAACTCTGATAATGAAGTCTAGGTTAACATCAGTTGCACAAGCTATTATTCTGCAGGGGACTTTGGTGCTTACTGAACTAGGAGCTTGCATTCCTAGATAGCCACATAGGTTTAGTCAGCTCTCCATCCTTTTAAATAACTATCTACTAAGAGGTCTGTTAGAGGACGTAGGATTTTGCATAATCTACTCCCAAAACATTCAGCAATTCAGGCAATTTCAAGAGTTTATCATTGGGAACATATCCTAAATTATAATGTCCCTTTCTGAGCCTCCATCTCAGTGATGGGTTCTGGATCTTGTTCCAACCGGTACAGTTGGAATGGGCCCGGTGTTGTCTACATGAACGCGTGCAACATGCACATGTGTCTTATTGTTCAGCGACGCCTCCGGGATGCTCCAGCTGCTTAGTGGAGTGTCGCGCAGGTGCTGTATGTGCCATGCGCATGCGCAGAAGACTTTAAAGACAGGTAAGGAGCAAGGGCGGGCAGGCACTCTGGAGCACCATACCGGAACAGTACCCGGTATTCTGGGCAGGCTCCGGTACGCCCATACTGGGGCGTACCACCTGCAACCCACCACTGCTCCATCTCATCTTCAAGTACCAGGATTTTCCTTTCTTTTTGGCACCAAGGGAGAATTTTAACATAAGGGTCTTAGAATTACACACTTGACTTTTGATGCATTTATCCATATCTTTTAAGATTATGGTTTGGGTACAAAGACCCTTGTCTGCTAGGCAACCAACAATTTCTGTATTGAACTTCACCTTCATTCTTTGTTGTTTGACTATATGAAGACCATATCCATCCCTCTAAAGGAAAATGGAAAAAACAATGGAGCTTAGCAGTTTCTTCTGTTCACATGTCAGCTATTAGAAATTACCAAGTGAGACTAACTTTCAAAAGAAAAATCCCACCATTTACCCCCATTATCCCTAGATTGTCCTTCCCCAAACCAAAATCTTCAACTTGGGTGAACTTCAACTCTATTTTTTAGTGGGAATTCCTAGGAGCAGTCAGTGGAAAAGAAGCTCTGCATGTAGTTTCCAAACTTTGACAGATTATTTGATGATGCTTATAAAATCCATTGGGAAGGCTACCACCTCCTAAGTAAAACTACTGATTTATAATGAATCTGATCAACACATACTCTTAATTCTTTCTGAGCAGCAGTGCATTTCCAGTGTCTCCTAATTTCTGCTGCCTGAATCCACCCGACCCCCCTCTTTACTTTGGAGAATTTTGCCTTGGATATATCTATCCATTATTCTGCCCGTGAGGGCTGCAGAGGCAGGATGATGATACTTTGATATGTTTCTCCCACTGTTCTTGTATTTGGGTTTTTTAAATATATTAAGATGTGTGAACACATTTATCAGAGAAAAACTCTGCCATTGTTAACTCAGGGTTGGTGAACTGGAAAATTGAAGGCACTGCAAAAAAGAGGCTAAAGTACATGAGTTGCTCTCTCTTGTTTAGAAATGAAAGTTCTCTTCCTGAGCTACCAAATAGTGCTATAATGATTATGCACAGAATCACTCCTTAATTACAAGCTAACTTGAAGATGCATTATTGGACTGGGCACATCTGTCACACATTACAATTCAAATATAATTCAAGGAGCATCCTTTGTCATCTGCCTCCCCAAACATAAATCACTGAAATAGGAACGGTTTTCTTCTGCATGGGGGAAATAAAACTGCCTAGAGCTGCACTTTTGCCTGCCATCAGCACCAGCTTCTTTCTCTATCATAGCATTTGCAGCCAACCGTGGAACAAGAGATGACATATTAGATCACAGGAATATCTGGGCTTGCTGAATGTGGAGGAAGCTAAGCAAGGGTTTTGGAGATCTAGCAACATCATATGGGTGATGGTAAAAAAGAGGGAAGTTATGAAGCACCGGTGGGGGCATGAACCATAGCAGGAAGAAATGTGATCAGGGACAACTGTGATTGTCAACAGTAAGACAAGCAGATTGCCTGTACTAGTCTGTGAAAGGCTACATATTAGCGGAGAATTTGGGAAATTTGGCTTTTAGCAATAGCAATAGCACTTAGACTTGTATATCGCTTCACAGTGCTTTATTGCCCTCTACAAGTGATTTACTGAGTGAGTATATTGTCCCCAACAATTTGGGTCCTCATTTTACCGACCTTGGAAGGATGGAAGGCTGAGTCAACCTTGAGCCTGGTGAGATTCGATCTGCCAAATTGCAGTCAGTAACCTGAAATAACCTGCAGTACTTCATTCTAATCACTGCGCCACTGAGGCCCTTACCCATTTTCTAAAAATTGATACCCACGCAGCGTTATTTACCTGCACTAGTAGATCCAATTCCTGCTGTAAGTACAGATCGTGGAGTAATCTTTGCTGCATATTTCAGAAATTGAGATTTACCAGTACCGGGGTCTCCAACCAATAAAAGATGTGATTCACCTGGAGGTAGAGTAAAGATGCCCAAGTTTTCTACAGACCAAATTTTAGAGAGAATTGTATTGAAGAAATATAAAATGCAGAAATATAAGCCCACATGTACTCTATAATTCATAGGGAAACCATGGAAGTTTATTTAGATGAATCACCTTTTCTTCTTCATGCAGATAACTGCATGATCTTACTGAACACTAATACGTACATTTTTAATTTAATTAATTTAATTTAATCGCAATATGGGAAAAGGCAAATGTAAAACTGTGATTAAAATGACAGAATTGTCCATCCTTTTGATACTTTGCAAAAACATTTGCTGACAATCATTTCTAAATGGCCAGGTACAAAAACAAACAAAAGAGTTGACAAAAACATCTCTTATTCAGAAAAGAACGTTCTGGATATTCTACACCTATACAGAAATCAGGGGTGAGTTTCAAAATTTGTTTGAACCTACTCGGTGGGCGTGGCCTCCTTTGTGGGCATGGCTTGCCACCCATGTGACCGGATGGGAGTGGCTTGCTAATGCCGCCACCGCCGCTGCCGCTAACGCCGCCTGCGCAGTGCACGCGAGCCCGCAGCTTTTGCAAGGGAAGGCCTGGAGGCCTTCCCTCGTGAAAGCTAGGCTGCCACCCCCCCACTTCAGCTGCTACCGCCGCCGCTACCGCCGCCCCCCACCCAGCTTCGGCCGCGAGCTGTACGCGAGCCCGCAGCTTTCGTGAGGGAAGGCCTGGAGGCCTTCCCTCACGAAAGCTGGGCCGCCGCCTGCCACCCACCCAAAGCCTCCCGAGTCCCGCTGCTTGGGCTCTGTTGCTTACCTGAGGGGGAAGCAGCAAGCAAGGGCCGAAGGGAATTTTCAAATGGAGGTCAAGCGCGAAAAAAGCTTCGCTTTGCCTCCAGCCCGCTCACTGATTGGCTGGACTCCAGCCAATCAGTGAGCGGCAGGCTGGGCTTAGTGCGGACGGGTGGGGGAGTGAGGGAGCGAGCTGCGGATGGGCGGGGGAACGAGCAAGTGAGCTGCGATGCACCGGCAAAAGGGCGCTTTGCAGCGACAGGGGCCAGGACCGGGACCGCCGTTCCCGGAA